CCCCACACTCACCTTTCCGGCAGAGGAGCCACCGGGTGGGATGGGTGTCTGGGCTCACAGGACGGGGGGCAGCGGTGGGCAGTGATGGGGCAGCAGCTGTGGCTGGCAAGAAGCTAGTTGCTGAGAGGAGGGCGTGAGTGAGCCTTGTGTCCAGGCAGGGAGCTGGCGCAGGGGGCAGAGCAGGTCCCAGGGCCCCTGCTGGGAACTGAGCGAGGGTGCAGCTCGCCAGGCTCCCTCCCCTGGCAGTGGAGGCGGGCAGGCTATCAGCGCACCGCCTCCTCCTTCCCCCTTCCCGGAGCCGGCCAGCAGTCTGTCCGCCGCCTCCTTTAACCCCTGAAGCACTCAGCCAGGGCATTCACGTCCAGCTCCCAGCTCGGCCCGCTGGGCGGCAGGGCCCGTATGTCTGAAACAAGGCATGCCAAGAAGGGTGCCCCCCCCCACCCCCGCTTCGGCCGCCAGCCCAGCAGCCTCCCAGGGGACCTGAAGGGAGGGACAGAGGGCTTGCGGAGCAGAGGGGGCAGGATGCCAAGAGGTCCAGGACCCCATGGAAGAGACACAGCTACAGAGAAGTGGCCCAAGGGCTACTGGATGGAGAAGGATGGTTGGTGAGACAATAGTAATAATAGCAACTCCCAACTTTTGTAAACCGCTCTGCCTTATGCTGTTTCCAACTCATTTTGTGACTGGAGACCTAAAATCTTATTTCTGAGCTTTTTTTTTTTTTTTTTTTCATTTCTGTCAAATGTGGGATAACAATCCTGGCTTTTTTCTCTGGGCTGAGTTAGGACATTTGTGACTGTATATTCAAAAATGATTTGAATTGAACTCTCGTTAATGAAATGCATGCTTCAATTCTCTTTGAAATACATCCAAAAGTAAAAATAAGACGGATTGATGGAGAGAGAGATAGAAATGTGATAAAGCAAATGTAGTAAAGTGTTTATTACAGAATCAGGGAGATTACCATATTATCCTTTCAACTTTTCGATATGCAAAAAAATTTTTACAATTAAAAATATTGGGGGAAATGTGATTTGAAGTTTGGGGTACCATACAAATGATAAAAGAAGCAGATAGGATTATTCTGAGGGGAAGGAAAAAGTCATTTGCTGCATACCTATTTGTACGCCTGGCACTTAAAGAATATTCTCTCTCTCACTTAATCTTCGAATCTCCCTTGTTATTTTAGCTGAAGAAAGTGACCCTGGAGCGGTTAGCTGACTTGTCCAAGACCACACAGGATGGTGTAGAGCAGGAACTCTGATCCTATGGGCTGGCTCCAGAGCCAAGCTCCCCACCACTCAGCCCTCCAGAGATTCAAAGGTCCTTCTCTTGGCCATCTGGGCCACCCTCCTGTGAGGTCCTGGGTCAGTGACCTGCATCTCTGAGCCTCCTCAGTTTCCCCTGCTGGCCGATGAGTTTGGATCCAAAGGTCTTCAGAGATCTTTTCTGGTTCTAATGCTCACTGATTTTATGAATCCAGCCAAACCCTTCCCCAGGCTTCAATTTTCCAAAGAGTAAAGTGATAGGGGAGCCCCGGGAGGAACAAAGAGCCTCAGGAAAGATTTGGTGGCATCTGGGGCCAGCGTCACAGAGATGGTCAGCACATGAGAGGGCTGCTCCCTGACACCCCCACCCAATCCATGACAGTGAAGCCCACGGAGACTGGGAGAGAGGCACCTCCTCAGGACCTTACATGGGGAGGGCGGAGACGGAGGCCTCATTGCATCCAACCCCTGCCTCCAGAGCAAGATGACCTCATCCCCTCCCAGATGGGAAGACTCGGTGGGCAGTGATGAGGCAGCAGCTGTGGCTGGCCTCCCAGAGTCCCAAATTCCAGCATCTCAGAACCTACCAACCTTGACAGTGTCCTCAATCTGTAAGTACGTGGGAACTGACCAGAGATGGGAAAGACCTGGTCCCACAGAATGTGCCTTTGAGATTGTGTAGGAAAACCTGGCCCAGGCCTCCTGGGGCCCCTGCCCAGCCCTCACTGCCCCAACTCTGAGACAAAGTTGTCTTCAAATAGCCTTATCCTGCCTAACCAGGGGCTGCTCAGGGGCTTGGGTCAGCCCTGGTCAGGGGAGGGAAGTGAAAGTAGTCCATGTCAGCCATCTAGGCTCTTCTAGAGGTGGATAGGGGGGTCTGCTATAAAAGTGGAACCCTCGGGACTTCCCTGACGGTCCAGTGGTTAAGACTCTGTGCTTCCAGTGCAGGGGACATGGGTTCAATCCCTGGTCGGGGAACTAAGATCCCACATGCCATGCCGTGCAGCCAAAAAAATTTTTTAATTTAAAAATTAAAATAAAAGTGGAACCCTCTCCCAGGTCACAGAAGAGCAGAAGTGCCATCCTCCCCATCGCCTCCTTCCAACCCACACCTACTATCATCCTGCTTGACATCAGACAGTCCCTAGCTCCCCACAACCTACCGTATCCAGTCCTAGCTCTGCAGCATGACATTCGAGACCCTCTGTGATGCAGCCCTGCCCTTTGAGCCTTGCCATCACACCATTCAGGGCTCAGCTCAAAAGCCACACTCGCTATGGATCCTTCTCCAGCTATTTGGTAGGTACTGACCCATCTGCTGAATACCCGAGGCTCTCGCTCAAATGCTACTGCTGTGACATACACTTGTTGGGTGCACTCCTGTATCTTCCAATAGTTGAGCAAAGATCTACTTGTCTTTTTCTTTCTCCTTTCCAACTTTGTCCAGTGCCTAGCACAATGCTGACACCTACTAGATTCTCAATAAATGTGTAATGAATAAGTGAACAATGGAGAGATGGATGGATGATGAGTTAAAAATTGAATGAAAGGGCTCTTTTAAACGCTTAATTCTGCACAAGGCTGTACCAAGGTAACTGTATGCAGACTTTTATCTTCAAAGTTATATTATCACAGACAGAAAACCTGAGTATGCTAAGACATGGGGACCATCAGACTGATACACAGATGTCCCAGGAGCATCCCACCCACCCCAGGGCTGCAGCAGAAGCAGGGGGCTCTGAGAAACACCGTCCTCCAGCCGCTCTCATCCCCCACTCCACCATCATTCCCTCTAGCCCAGCCTTCCCGCTCCAACACCTGGGTACAGAACCATGAATTCAGCAAATCTCTAAAAACCACACAGAGAGGAAGTCAAGAAACTAGAGGCTTTCAAAGAAGAGCAGCCGTTCCCTTTATTTCCAAGAGCTGTCCCACAGCCGATCTCACACACACACACACACACACACACACACACACACACACAGCCAGAACTGCTTTCCGAAGAAGCCTGCTCAGCCCTTCTGTCCCCTCCCAGCTCCTCCTCCTCCAGGCTGATGAAGACTCAGGATTCCCAGGGTTTCCCATCTCCCATCCCCCAACCCTCCTTCCCCTCTCCCTGAGCCAGTCCATGCCTCTTTCCCCCCTCCCTCCCTTCCTCCCTCCCATCCCCAAGCACAGCACTGCACATCTGGTTCCAGTTGTGGTTGGTCCATTCAGGGGCAGGCCTTGGGGGGGTTCTCATAAAACTGAATACCAGTGTTGGAGCCCAGTGCAGCTGGGGGGAAGGGAGGGCAGGAGGCCGCACTGGGCAGGAGGGAGAGAAGCGGCAGCTGGGAGGCAAGGAGACGCAGAACACAGAAAGGAGCCGGGCAGTGCCTGGCATCTAATAGGCGTTCAATGGATGCTTGTTAATGGCAGATAGACGCTAGAGACGCGAAGGGCAGAAAAGCCAGGAGGAGAGAGGGGGACAAAGAGCGGGTCAGAAGCAGAGACCCAGAGGGAGGAAGGAGAGGGAGCTGGGGGTGGCGGGCCGCCCATGGAGCCACAGAGAGGCCACAGAGAAGAAA